ATTATCAAGTTTTATTAATATAAATCTTAAAACTTAAAACTTTTGCTTTTCGATTAAACAGTTTTAAAATCATATATAAATAAAGCCTGAAATAAATAAATATAATCTACATATATACAAAAAAAATATCATTAGATTTAAAAGCCTCTTAGTTGCCCGCCAACTCATAGTTAGGAAAGTTATCTTTTTGTTATATCTCATCAAGGGTCAAACACAACAACAAAAGTAAAATAAAATAAAATAAAAATCGTTTTTGGTCAGCACGATGATAAACGCCCCGCAATTACTGTTGTGGACGTCATTGCGATGAGCCCGTTCGTCATGGAACTTTCGCTTTCGGCCAAACTCGGTCATTTGCATATGACAGAGAGATTCACGCCGAGGGGGGGAGGAGGGCCAGCTAGATCGCGGGTCAGGCAGCTGCATTTGGTTAATGGCGTGTGGGAGCCACATTTCGGGCCACTTGAATCACCTGCAACAACTCGAGATAATCTCAAGTGATCCAGCAGCAGGGCCAACAGCCAGCCAAACATATATCATAATTTGTACAGGCATCAGAGATCTCAGTGCTCTCATGTGTTCCGATTATCAACGGCTACAATCACGACTCTCTCGACTCTTCCAGGTAATGCTGCTCCTTGACCAACGTCGCCCGGCTGAACTTTCACATGCAATTGTGCAGTGCAAGGCATTACAGTGCCTGATCTCAACATTCGTGCAACTAATAAACGCTCTTTAGTAAATGATTGGGGCGTGTTTTGATTATGCGATTTGCCCAACAATATTGAAACGTGCCCAGAAATTTTTGGCGGACATTGATCCGACGCCGGCGATCGCGGATTAGCTAACTATGGCCAAAACTAAGCTCTAGACCTTTATAATTTTTGGCGAAAGTGCAGAGTTTGGCATTCACTTTTCAGACTATAATCAAATGTATATATATACAGATGTTAAACGAATCTTACCCGATGTATAACATGTGAGTTCGATTGATATTTTACGGGACCTTGATGAGTTTGTTTACATTTATTGTGACGTGAGATATGCGGTGTCGCCTTTTTATGTAAAATGTAAGCGAGTGAAATTTTGTATAGCTATAATTCGCTTGCATAAGTTTTTTGTATCATTCACAGATTTATTTTTGCAACATATATAGTTTGTTATTTAGACTGTTTAATCAAAAATAAATCAAGCCGTCAACCAAAATTTGAGAGTAGATAAAGCAATTGCTGCTCTTGAAGAGATTTAAAAAATAATTAAAAGACTAAAAGCCGTTCTATGCGATTTTCAAAAATTGTTACATTAAATTATTGTTTTTAAATCATTTGCTTATAGCTCAAGTTTTTAATTGACCTTAAACGAATTATAGATTATTAACTAGATTAGATAGATTAATAGGTATAGAATGCCTTTTAAGACCTAAGAGCTCTAGAAACTGACATTTTTCGAATTCCAGAGAGCAAATATAATTATATTCGATATGGTTTGAATTTTTAATATAAAAAAATTCTAATAAAAATAAATACAATCTGTATGCCTTTCTAAGCGATTCTCAAATTCTTTAAAATTTATTAGAAAGTCCAAACAAATCTATATTAAAATATTTCTCTCATCACCCACACACATTAAATCAGGTAAACCATATCAAATCATTCAAAAATACAAGTTTCATATAATTATAATTATAATTCTGTTAAATCACAAAACGAACATAAATTTGCATTCAACGGCGTCTAATATAAATTAATAACAAAGCCATTTTTAAATAACTAAAGGGTATTATACGTTAGCCTCATTTAGCCATTGAAATCGAGAGGGTAACACGAAAAGTTCCCACCAGATCCAAAGTCGCTAGACAATATATAAAGGAGAAGAAGAAGAAGAAGAAAAACGAAAGCGATGAAGTAACTGAAACTGAAACTGAATTYGAGTCTTGCGGCGCAGATCTTGCACTTAATTTCCATAGAAAAGTTGCACAATTAAGCAGCTTGAAGCACATCACAGCAGAATCATTAAATGCTGTGCAGCCGAGTGGGCGAGTGTATGTCAGTCAAGAGTGGGTAAGAGCCGTTTTTTCTCATTTTGGCTGAGACAAAAAACAGAGATGACCAAGTTCCAGTCGCTGTGTGTCCCGCATGCACAATGTCTTCAAGCGACGTTTTTAAACTTTCCCAAACTTCTGGACAAGCTTTACAATGGAAATGCTCTTGCTCTTGTAATATTTTTGTATATATATATATTTTTTTTGTTTAATTTTATTGCTGCCCGCAAAGATTTATAGGAAGCAGCCAGCCACTCGAGAAGTAAGCCGAATAAAAAAAAAAAAAAAACGAAAGTTCCACTCTGCAAGTGTTCGAAAAGCAACTGAATTTTCTTTCTCCACAAAACAATTGAAAGGTACTTGGCAAGGTAAACAGCGCCTACAAGCTGCTGCTGCTGCTGCAAGTCGTCTCAATTG